ACCCCTCTAACACCCTACGTCGTACAGCCTGACAATTTACTCAAGTATCGTACTCTTGTGATATACTGGTCCTTTATTTGAGTATTGTGTAAAACATATTTTTATATTTTAATTTATTACTGCACTACACAAAAGATGAAAACACTGTTAGCCTTTTAGATTGTTTTACATGTGAAACATACAGTACAATAGGCTCATAAAGCATGATCAATTCTCAGAGTTTAAATTAGTTAAGTGTATGTGGAATTGGTAGAGTTGCTGCAATTTTAACAAAAATTATATTAAGGCCATGATCAAACATACAGTGAGCCCACAGCTGTAGGCATCCCTGGGATCAGAAGCAGCTATAAAAAAAAAACTAAATAAATAACATAAAATAACATAAATTTTATTATGTATTTATTTCACAAACTCTAATTATGAGAGCTAAATACAATAGCACATTTAAAGATAATTTTACTATTTTTTGGACATTTTAAAGACCGGAAGGCCCTATCTAGAGCCAGTGTTTGGTTTGTCCATCCTGGGCTACTGTAGAAACATGGCAGACTCCATGGAAGAGGACCTGCTCCCCCTGTACATAAAAACGTCTCATTCTAAAGTGACAAAAACACAATTCTTATATATATATTATACACGAATGAAAACAGACTTTATATTAGATATTATATTCCATTTCTGCCAATAGATTCTCCTAAATGTTACACACTGGACCTTTAAGGGATAATTTACTTCCCTGGAGGCTTACCTGAACTTCATCTGTAATTGATAAATGCTCAAACCTGAACATAACCCAAACCTCAATGAAACAACAGATGTTTAAAGCTTTAAAGCCTGAATTCAGCTGCCGTAAAAACAAAATTATATTCAATTTCTGCCAATATATCATCCTAAATGTTACATGTTACAGACTGGAGCTTTGGCACTTTAGACTTCAGGGGAGACTGAGACTGACGTTAGAAGCCAAGTTCATATTAATGATGTGTGAACATAATGGCCTCAAGTCAACTGTGATTGATTGAGAGCTTTAATGTTGTTTTTTTAAAATAAGGTACAGTATATGTAGCAGTTTTAAACTTGTATCTGACCCTCAAATCGGATCTGTTGTGGATCTTTGTAACCTTCTGTCACACTGTCAGAATCATGGCATCGATGTGAGCAAAAGCAAAGGAAAAGAAAAGTAACGCCAAGAAGTCACATTTTTCCTCACTCTCTAAATGTTTGCCAGCGATTAAAAAGCTTTTTGATGAGTCTGGTCTGCTTCCCTGTTGCATGGAAAACATATTTCAAAGCTTTTACTCCACCTTCGTATTGTGCTTGATGTTTTTGTTTTGGATTGTGACGCACATCCTTTATTTGACTTGGACAGAAAGACGGATAGGCACAAACAGGCCAAACCGGCACAGAAAGAAAGGACTCATTGTTTACTACCTTTGGTCTGCTCACAGTACTGGTCATTTTGGTGTTTTCAGGATACAACTTGAAATGTGGATACAAAACACAAAGCTTTAGCAAACCAGGATCATTCGCAAGTTAAGAGACTATAGGTATCGCCAACTTTCAGGTAGACGGAAACAATTAGAATTGTAATGGGAGCTTTCTGAAAAGGGCCCTAACCTACTTCCCACCACCAGCACTAACAAAAGCAGACGGATGTACATATACGGTATGTTCTGTATTTGCATGAGAAGTTATCAGCGATCTGTCATCATAATGCTCCAAGTACGAAGTGAGAAAAGCCTACTACTATAAAACTTTGTCTTTGTTTTGCTCTACATTTACACTGTCAGCCTGTGGTGTTTTTGCATGTGTAAGTAGAAAAGACAAAACTATCAAATAAGTCCATGTCCAGTCCATGAAAGCTGGAGACATTAGCTCACATACTTTATATTTCTGTGCCACTATCACCAAACAAACCAGCTCAGTATATTAATGCTGCTGGTCAGTAAAGAGATGCACACCAGTTAATTTCCTTTTATGAGCATCTCTTGATGCACTACCACCATTTATACATGGTGTGTACTTAACAGTATGAACTGGTTTTATTTGGCTGGATCAAAAGCAATTTTTTCCCCCCAAATCAGATTTCATTCAATTATAAAGAATAATAGAACAAGGCACCTCATCACTTCTGGTTAAACCGGATCCCAACACTGTGAATGATGGGAAAAGCAGGGGAAAAGCTGGTAGAAGGTGTGGTAGTTTATAGTCGGGTGCCAACAGATTCTGATGGATCCTGTGGTCTTTTTATAAGCGAAAATACAAAAAACCATATGACTTTTTGTGTGGGGTTTTTGTGTTTCTTCCTTCCTCTGCAGGAAGACAGAAACCAAAACTTTATGGACACAAAAAACAGACACACACACACACACACACACTCCTTCAATCTCTTTGTTCTAGCTGATTCAGAGCCTTTTGTTTCCTTCAGGTAGGGAGTCATGAAAACATGGTGGAGGTAAAATGGGAGGAACCGGCGTCTCAGGCCGACCAGCTTCCTCTTGGTTCAGGTTTTCAAGACAAGACTTTATTCAGTGTCTGCTGCAGAACAATTCATGCTGCACCAAAACCTTCTGACATCTCCCAGCCTCCCAGTCTCTGTGGCAACAACCTCTGCTTGTGCTTAATATATTATATAACTAATCCATTTTTATTTTATTTTGAAAGCCGTTACACATCTAATGTGCAGACTTCTAAATTGCAAACATTGAGAGGCAACATCATACTCTGCGTACTCCTGATTAAATTAAATGTGTTACACAAGACTGAACTTCAGTTCAGTAGGTATGCATCAACAGGTCTAATTTGGACATTATGTCATCATTTATCATAATCATTCATAGTGTGGACATCTGCTCAAGATCTATTATGCAACATAATGTCAAACTTCTGCACATGCAAACACAAACTGTAGTCTGGCTGGAACAATGTGTAAAACTGGCAGCAGCATCTGAATAATGAAAAAAACAAGAAACTGTATTCAAAGAGATTCTGTCTCGTTAACTCCACATAATCAGTTCAATAAGTTCACTGCTTTCTATATTTGTTAATGGAAGTATTTACATTGCCAGCAGTATGCACATGCCCTTTCTAATGAGTCGGTTCAGCTGCCCTTAATCAAAGCCATTTCCAACAGGTGCATAAAATCGAGCCATCCATCTTCACATTGCACAATTTCAGTAGAATCAGTCAAAGAATCTCTCAACTTTGGTATTTTATTGTTGTCATGCATTTTTGGTTTCTGCTGTTTCTTAATATATTATCCATTCCTCTGCGCAGTTACAGTCTAGTGCATGTGAAACCATTTTGAAATTCATGACTATCAATACATTGCAGGAAAATTATGAGCTTCTTCGAGCTTGAAATAGGCCCATAAAACACCCACTGTGTTACTACTGAGAAATAACATAGAGCCAGCTGAGCGACAGAAACAGAAAAAAGCTTCTCTGCTGTATCACGCTGTGAGCTGACCCAGTCTTTTCTCTGTCAAAACTCTGTCCACTCATATGTCCGTCTGTCCTTTGGGACCACAGCATGTCTCAGGACGATTGTCCAATAAGATAATCTAGGGATAGTTTGTTTATGCTCTGGTCCAATCCCAGGACATTGAGCTGATCCGACTGGGACTGATCCCCCGACGCAGCTCAAATCTCACTCTAAACAAACATCCAGTTTCCCATGTTAGAATCCGAGTCGTTTGGATTTTAAAATATAAGTGTTTAGTCTTAATATACAGTA